TTTGTTTAACGTAAATTATTTTGGTTTAGCAATACCATCGTCTAAATAATTCAATTTTGTTTGATTTTGAATTTGCTTTTCAATAAATGGCTGGTTTATCTGTGGTTGCATTATATTGACGTTGGTATTGATCAATATTTACATCCAGGATCAGGGTGTGGTCTACTGTTAGTTATTATAAATAAAATATGTAAGATTTGTGTATCGCCAATATTTGCCAATATGTTTTTACAGACTGCAAAACAAAGTTTTACGGCTCGAAGTGTAACAGTCGATGTCCAACTACCTGTGTAAATAACACGTGTGAGAAAACCAGTGGAGATTGTTTTGGTATGTACATAAGATGATAAGTCATTCGTGTGTTAGAGATCCTATAAAGATAAACGCTTCCAAATGTAAATTTGAAAATGCCATATTTCTTAAAACAAAGTGTATATATTAATAGATATTTTCAGGACATTTTAGGGACATGTAGTTTCCTTTTCTTTAAACTTTTCAAATACGTTAGTTTATTTGCCATAATTTCACATGAACCCATTTTAGATTGACAACACATATTCATAAGAAAGTGAAGAGATAGGTTCTCTCTTGACTTTAAACTTCTCTTTAAGGATCCCAGTGAAATTGAAATTGATCTTTTGTTTAACGTATATAATTGTGGTTTTAGCAATACCATCGTCTAAGCAATTCAATTTTGTTTGATTTTTAATTTGCTTTTCATTAAATGGCTGGTTTATCTGTGGTTGCTTTATATTGACGTTGGTATTGTTCAAAATTTCCATCCAGGAACAGGGTGTGGCCTACTGTTAGTTATTATAAATATAGTTTGTGAGATTGTGTATCGCCAATATTTGTCAATATGTTTTTACAGACTGCAAAACAGGCTTTTACGGCCCGAAGTGTAACAGTCGATGTCCAACTGACTGTGTGAATAACACGTATGAGAAAACCAGTGGAGATTGTTTTGGTATGTACCTCACAAAGATAATAAGTCGCATCATAACGATTTCTCTCTTCTCTGTAAAGGTTTAGAGATGATGTTTTTGTCCAGATGATGACTTCAAAACAACGAAATATCCATACGAATGAGCTTTAAATGGAACAAATTATGATAATGTTAACGAGCGGAACAATCTGCTGTAACATTTTAAATCATTGTTTAGCGAACCGGTTAAGTATGCAAATTTGTTTGCTGGTTAATTTGCTATTAAATGAATAATTTGTTTTGTGGTGACCTGAATTGATGCTAGTATGATAAGTATTGCCATTCCTTTTATAAGTGTTTCTATGTTTTTAAAGAGTGTGCAGTTCGCTTTTACGACTGTAAGTGTAAAAGTCGATGTCAATCTAACTGTGGAAATAACACCTAACGATTGCTTTATTCTCTGTAAACGCCGTAAATCCGTGTATGTACCTCACAAAGATAATAAGTCGCATCATAACGATTTCTCCATTCTCTGTAAAGTCTTAGAGATGGTGTTCTTTTCCAGATGATGACTTCAAAACATCGAAATATCCATACGTGTGAGGTTTAAATAGAACATATTTTAATAGTGTTAACGAGCAGAGTAGTTTGTTGTAACATTTTAAATCATTTTTTAGCAACCCGATTGACTATGCAAACTTGTTTGCTGGTTAATTTGTTATTAAATAAATAGTTTGCTTTGGTGTGGCCTGAATTGATGCTAGCATGATCAATATTGCCATTCCGTGTTTTGATGTTTTTAAAGAGTGTGCAGTCGGCTTTTACGACTTCAAGTATAAAAGTCAATGTCAATCTAACTGGAAATAATACCTGCAAGCAGACCAGTGGAGATTGCTTTGGTAGGTAACTCATATATTATAGATGATAAGCCGCATTATAACGATTGCTTTATTCTCTGTAAACCCCGTAAATCCCGTAAATCCCGTGGTATACCGCAACATTCATGTGTTAGAGATCCTATAAAGATAAACGCTATTCAAATGGCCATGCTACTTAATACAAAGTGAATATTTTAATAGATATTTTGGAGATTTTTGAGTTTCCTTTTTTCTTAAACTCTTCAAAACGGTAGTCATTTGCCATAATTTCACATGAACCCATTTTAGATTGACAACACATATACATAAGAAAGAGACGAGATAGATCTCTCTTGGTTTTTTTTGAAATTTTCTTTAAGGATCCCCTTACCACTGCCAAAAACTTTACCTACTCATAAGAGCCTGTTTTTTAGGCATGAGTATAGCTTTGGTAAAACATTTTTGAGAAGAAAGCCTGACCTCGCGGGACTTTGATAGGTAAATAATGAAGATGAAATGAACAAATATCGATTGTTATGCGGTCGCTCTACAACACAACGTCAATGGTAATGTCCTTGCCCATCTGTGCTACAGTTATATAAAAAAACGAATGTAAGGGGTGAACTCTGTACAGACGAAAACTCAAAGTGTAATGGGACTAGGATCCTTAAAAGGAACATATTTGAATGACAGAAACGGGCGGAACCTTTGTTTAACGTAAATTATTTTGGTTTAGCAATCCCATCAAAGGAATTCAATTTGTTTGATTTTGAATTTGCTTTTCAATAAATATCTGGTTTATCAGTGGTTGCATTATATTGACGTTGGTATAGATCAATATTTACTTTAAGGATCAGGGTGTGGTCTACTGTTAGTTAATATAAATATAATTTGTGAGATTTGTGTATCGCCAATATTTGCCAATATGTTTTTACAGAATGCAAAACAGGCTTTTACGGCTCGAAGTGTGAAGGTCAATGTCCAACTACCTGTGTGAATAACACGTGTGAGAAAACCAGTGGAGATTGTTTTGGTATGTACCTCACAAAGATAATAAGTCGCATCATAACGATTTCTCTCTTCTCTGTAAAGTCTTAGAGATATTTTGGAGATGTTTGAGATACATGTAGTTTCCTTTTATTTAAACTCTTCAAATAGGTAGTTATTTACCATAATTTCACATGAACCCATTTTAGATTCACAAAACATATACATACATAAGAAAGAGACGAGATAGGTATCTCTTGGTTTTTTTTAAATTTTCTTTAAGGATCCCCGTACCATTGCCAAAAACTATACCTACACATAAGAACCTGTTTTCTAGGCATGACTATAGCTTTGATAAAACATGTTTGAGAAGAAAGCCTTACCTCGTGGGACTTTGATGGGGAAATAATGAAGATGAAACAAACTAAATATAATCAAAAGAAGTTTACTAAGACCAAAAATAAACAAAAAAATAATTTGGGCTGTACCGAGATTCGAACTCATGATATCGATTGTTATGCGGTCGCTCTACATCGTCAATGGTAATGTCCTTGCCCATCTGTGCTACAGTTATATAAAAAAAAAACGAATGTAAGGGGTGAACTCTGTACAGACGAAAACTCAAAGTGTAATGGGACAAGGATCCTTAAAAGGAACATATTTGAATGACAGAAACGGGCGGAACCTTTGTTTAACGTAAATTATTTTGGTTTAGCAATACCATCGTCTAAACAATTCAATTTTGTTTGATTTTGAATTTGCTTTTCAATAAATGGCTGGTTTATCTGTGGTTGCATTATATTGACGTTGGTATTGATCATTATTTACATCCAGGATCAGGGTGTGGTCTACTGTTAGTTATTATAAATAAAATATGTAAGATTTGTGTATCGCCAATATTTGCCAATATGTTTTTACAGACTGCAAAACAAAGTTTTACGGCTCGAAGTGTAACAGTCGATGTCCAACTACCTGTGTAAATAACACGTGTGAGAAAACCAGTGGAGATTGTTTTGGTATGTACATAAGATGATAAGTCATTCGTGTGTTAGAGATCCCATAAAGATAAACGCTTCCAAATGTAAATTTGAAAATGCCATATTTCTTAAAACAAAGTGTATATATTAATAGATATTTTCAGGACATTTTAGGGACATGTAGTTTCCTTTTCTTTAAACTTTTCAAATACGTTAGTTTATTTGCCATAATTTCACATGAACCCATTTTAGATTGACAACACATATTCATAAGAAAGTGAAGAGATAGGTGCTCTCTTGACTTTAAACTTCTCTTTAAGGATCCCAGTGAAATTGAAATTGATCTTTTGTTTAACGTATATAATTGTGGTTTTAGCAATACCATCGTCTAAGCAATTCAATTTTGTTTGATTTTTAATTTGCTTTTCATTAAATGGCTGGTTTATCTGTGGTTGCTTTATATTGACGTTGGTATTGATCAATATTTACATTCATGATCAGGGTGTGGTCTACTGTTAGTTATTATAAATAAAATATGTAAGATCTGTGTATCGCCAATATTTGCCAATATGTTTTTACAGACTGCAAAACAGGCTTTTACGGCCCGAAGTGTAACAGTCGATGTCCAACTGACTGTGTGAATAACACATGTGAGAAAACCAGTGGAGATTGTTTTGGTATGTACCTCACAACGATAATAAGTCGCATCATAACGATTTCTCTCCTCTCTGTAAAGTCCTAGAGATTGTGTTCTTGCCCAGAAGATGACCTCTGAACAACGAAATATCCAAACGAATGAGGTTTAAATGGAACATATTATAATAATGTAAACGAGCCAAACAATTTGTTGTAATGTTTCAAATCATTGTTTAGCAAACCGATTGACTATGCAAATTTGTTTGCTGGTTAATTTGCTATCAAATAAATAATTTGTTTTGTGGTGACCTAAATTGATGCTAGCATGATCAGTATTGTCTTTCCGTGTAAAAGTGCTTCTATGTTTATAATAAAAATCACCTGCTATTTTAAGCGCCTTGCGAACGTATTTTTATTTTGCAGTTCTAATATCGTAAGGCAACATGTCAGTCCCTGCACGTTATAGTACCCGGTTGCGATGCAGAATCTGTTAGCGTGGCTTCATTTTTAGTGGTCACATATTTTCCTTGCAGGTGATTAATATGAAGGGCTACCCACATGCAAATATTTCTTTCAGCTTTAATGCCGGCTCAGTACGGTGTGATGGTATTTGGCTACACAATAGCTAACTGATCAATCGGCCGTGTCAGTTGCAAATTATGTCACTCGGATGCAAACTTCCTACCAATTTATATGGGTTTGGTATTGATAATACACTTCTTTTTCAATGGGAATGTGTGATCGACAGAGGCACAGATTGCGGGACTTATTGCGTTTTCTTTTTGATTTTTTTTAATGTTTTTATGCGTAGTGATATACCTTTTTTCTCTTTGATTGCTGTCCTTTATTCTAGTAGTATATCACTACACTACGGTCATGAAAAAGTAACACCTTTTAAAACTTGAAAAGCAATATCTTATCTGTTCAGTAAAATATCAATGAAAAGATATATAATTCGTAGTTTGCTTTTACTTTTATCTTTCCGCTCCTGTTGCATGTTTGCTATTCATAAGGTGGTGGTAAAAATATAAAGGTGGTATGTGAAAATATCACGAGTTTTTATCGTGGGTAGAAATTTCATCCGAGAGGTTATGATCTGTCGAGTTAGCCGATGCGTTGTTGAGAGTTTACACTAAATCGACAAAAAACTGTGGAAATAACACGTGTGAGGAGACAACTGGGCATTGTTTCGGAGAGTATCTTCCATTTTAAGGATTTCCCGTTGTAAATGCTGGTCCCTTTTCTGAGAATTCGTGGGGATTATATTATAGCAGTATGTCTGTACGTATTCTTTCCAGATGCTTCTGAACACGTAAGCATTTTATAATTAGGGAACCCAATGGAAGGATGCATGATCCTGTTATCATGGCCATAGACAGGTCCACGTCGAGTCACTCTAATTATTTTGAGGCAATCGCTTTTGACGTGTAAGGCATGCTTTAGATGGCTGTAGCATCCCCTAAAAGCAGTGTCATAAGAAAGATTTGAATAAAAATGTATTCTTACGCTTGTCTGTGTAATAGTTTTGGACCAGTTCAACATTTTTGACATATTCCACTGAACAGCCGAAGAGATATTACATGGATTTATCATAAATGAATGATGTATAGCAATAAGGGACATGGATTACCTTTCAAAACGAGTTTTGGTTTAAAAAAAAGACCTTATCCTTTTTAATACATATACATTCCTTTATATGATATCTTTTATATATACCAGAAGAATATTATCAGAAGATAATAAGATATGATATATCATAAAATAATCAAGATACTTTATATAAATAAATGGCAAACTGGCTGCTTATAAGTTAATGTTAAATATGGTTGAAGGTGTGAATTAAAAATAACATCTACTATTTCTAGTTAAGTACCCATTCAACATAGCGCGATAACGTATTGCACTATTTACACGCGAGGATCATGATGCAAAACACCAATACTGTGTAATTTGTTGAACAATTCATTCATATCATATCATAATTCTGTGAAGCAACATTGCACAGGCAGCTAAACAAATCGCTATCTGAACAAAATGTCGCGAGTTGTGGTATCTAACGATCTCTGTCCACCATTTTAAATGGTTCATTTGGAGATAGATCTATGAAGCTTTTATTTTGAACAAAAGTAGTATTGTACCAAGAGGAAAAGAAAGAGATAGAAATGAAATAACGTCATCCATGGGTGTGTGAGTGCAAGTGTGCGTGCACCTCCATAACATAACGTAAAGCACTGATCACTGATTTTCAATCTAATGAGTATATACATTAAATGTAACACCTGTAAATATGTTATAAGTTAATTTTATCTTATTCAAATTACTATGGTAGTTAAGGTGTCAACAGTTTCGCAGAATTATTTGCCTGTAATATATAGTTGGTGGTGGAATTAATATAAGCTCTAAGCTTGTTTTCCAATCCATGTGTAAGTACATGTATGTAATTAACATGTTTGAATATTGAATAAATATTGTTTAAACTAAATAAACTCAATAAAGTCAATGTTAGTATATATATATAAAAATAAAATAAGAATTAGAATCGAATGCATAGATTTGTATGTATAGAATGTATAGATTTGTATAGAATGTATAGATTGGGGAGCTTGTATAGTCTGATGACAGAAAGAGAACTGTGAATTTTGGAAGTATGTTGAGACTAAAGTGTTGATATATTCAATTAAACTTATTTCAGGTTGTAAATCTGGTCACTTTGGTTCTACTTGCGTCCCCTGTCCGGAAAATTGTTCGACAAGAAATTGTGATTTATCTGGACGTTGTACAAGTATTTTTTCAATTTTATTAAAAAAGACCGTAGCACAAATTGAAATTGACTACAAAAGTTCAATTACTGATATAATATAGGCAGAATGGTTAACAAATTCTAGACGATGCATTATGTCATTTTCTCTTACCTTGGACAGGTGTATCCGCATTTTTACCGGTGTGAGACTTCCTTGTCTCACCCTAAGGTTGAGACGGGGTGATTCCCCTATTCCTAACAATGGCATGACGTCACTTTAACAATACAATGACGTCACGTCAACAATCCATCAACGTCACGTCAACCCTGAATTTAGAATGTAACGTTATCATTACATTGTGCATATGATACACAATGAAAGAACAGGGTAAGAGAAAAAGAATCATTCACCCCCTTGTGGGTGAGATAGTGGAATCTCAACCCTCGGGGAAAGATTCTTTAGTTGCCAAACACTCGGCAAAGCCTCGTGTTTGGCAACTTAAGAATCCTCCCCCTCGGGTTGAGATTCTCCTATCTCA